ACTGATGGAAGTAGGCCGTTTCATGTTGACAGTTTGGATCTTGTTCGAACACTCAAGGGCAAAATATACTATGTAAGAATAAGGGCACTTGGATGTGTGTGTAAATGTAAATATATATATATATATATATATATATATATATATATATATATATATATATATATATATATATATATATATATATTTGTATATATTACATACAAGTGCGTGTGTGTGTTCATGTATACATACAGACATACACACAGACAGACAGACAGAGAGACACAGACAGACAGACGGACAGGACAGACGGACAAACAAACAGACAAAAACACATACACATGTATATCTATCTACAATCTATAGATATTTCAATATCTATACCTAAATCAATTTATCTATCTTTATCTTACATATATACATATATACATATATGCATATATACATATATACATATATAGATACATACATACATACATACATACATACATACATACATATATATATATATACATACATATATATATATATATATATATATATATATATATATATATATATATATATATATGTGTGTGTGTGTGTGTGTGTGTGTGTGTGTGTGTGTATGTATGTATGTATGTATGTATGTATGTATGTATGTATGTATGTATGTATGTATTTATGTATGTATATATACATACATGTGTGTGTTTGTGAGTGTGTGTGTGTGTGTGTGTGTGTGTGTGTGTGTGTTGTGTGTGTGTGTGTGTGTGTGTGTGTGTGTGTGTGTGTGTGTGTGTGTGTGTGTGTGTTTAAGGACTATTACATGATGATCTGTTGCCCGTTTCGTCTCCTTTACTAACGCATTTGCCTCCTCCCTCAGGTGTGATGCGCCCCCGCGAGGCGTGATGGCGGGCAGGGTGGGTCCAGAGCTCACCATCTACTCGGCGCGCTACGCCACGCCCCCCACCAAGCCCCGGCCGGCCCACCCGATTCCCACGCAGCATGTGCATGACCACCTCGGCCACGTCAGGAACCCCAGCGGGTCCTTCGGCGCTCCGTCGGGAGGGTCGCTCATGGGCATGTCGGGCGGACCGTTCTCGGGCCCGCTGTCGCTGCCGCAGGGCTCTGGCTACCTGCGGGCGGGTCCGCGGCGGCACCATCACCACCACCATACATTCCCGCCCTACCCGCCCTTGCCGCCGCCCCCGCCGCGCCGCCTGCACCACCACCCCCACGGGCACCAGTCGTTGCCATATATGAGCTTTCGGGAGCCGCCACCTCCGCCGCCGCCCACGGGGCGCTGGGACGAGGACCCGTGCTTCCTGCGGCCGCACTCGCCGGAGACGCCGTGCCCGCACAGCCACCGCGCGGAGCACACCCCGCAGGAGGACGGCACCTGCTTCGTGGTCATGGGCTCGCAGAAGCCCCTGGAGATCATGGAGCCTTTCTCGGCCAAGAACCCGCTGCACGTGCCGCACCTGCAGCAGGAGGAGGAGGGCGTGTACTCCTACGCCGGCGAAGGGATCCTGAGCCCCGCCGACGTGATCCGCGCCCAGGCGGCCATGGAGGACTCCGACAGCTACGGCGGGTCCCTGGCGTCCGAAAACATCTACGAGGAGATTCCCGAGAACTGGAGCGGCGCCTGGTCGCGGCGCTCGCTGGTGGAGGAGGTGCTGGACGAGTACGAGCGCGTGCGCGCGGGGCACCGGCGCGTGCTCTCCGCCCTCAACCTGGACGTGGAGACGCTCATCCGACCCGAGGGGCACGACGGCACGGCCTCCCCCGACTCGGGCCTCACCGTGTCAGCGTCCGACTCGTCGTGCGAGCCGCACGCCGGCTGTGATCCCTCGCGCCCACGGACGCCCACCAACCACGACGACCCCGCCAACGCGTGGCGGTCGCAGAGGAGATCGTCGCCCAAACAGAACGCCGAGAGGCAGCTGCCCAAAGGGCGGGGACGGCTGGTGAAGTGCGAGTCCCTCGACCTGAAGGAGGCCATGACGCGCCGCCCGTCGGGAGGTCGCGGGCGCGGCTTCAAGGAGAAACTCGGCGGAGTCAAGGAGAAGATGGAGAAGAAGGGATGGCGCTTCCCTAACTTCTCAAGGAAAGGTAAGTCTTCGGCTATACTCTTGTGTGCTTGTCTTCATATTTATCAGTGGTTTGATGTTTTTTTGTTTTTTTTTGATAGGTCAATCTTTCACCTTGAAACACCAAGAGAATGGACCCCGTGATGTCATTATATATTTCTTAACAACTTTTACATATCATCTTATCATGAATACAAACAAATACTCTATTCTTGCATTATTTCATTGTATGACAACTTCAAAGGATGAGAAGGGGGTGCCACATAAGAACCACCCAGGTAAACCTTCCACTAACCAATCATACCATAGGGATTTTGCAAAAGTGCATTCTCGTTTGGTAAGTTCGTATCCCCTGGTTTTGATTGGCAGGATTCTTGACTAGTCCAGTGGTCCTGTTTCCTGTCCAGCCTCTGCCAACTGCTGTAATTCACGTGAAAGCTGGAGCGTAA